GAATGTCGTGAATCAAACTCACTGGTTAACTGCAGGCAGAAAAGAGATTTTTCTTTGGTTTGCATCCAATTTAAATGGTGCTTATGACATGCAAAGCCCAATTCATTTATTTTTATGAAAGTTATTAAACAGGAGGATGTTCATGGAGCAGCCTAATTTTGACGTGTCACTTCATTTCAGTTTGTATTTCTCCTTTTAATATGAGAAAGAATGGTTCTGTTTCCTAAAGCCTGAATATATTGTTGTATTTCTAAAACTTCCAGGATACGACAGATATTGGAGCTGTTTTACATTGTATAATTTATGATTGTTCTAACATAACATTGTCTGGAACTTCACACACTATCTGCCAATCAGATGCCTTTGATTTGCAAAGTGTGCTGACTGATATAGGGAGAGACTGACTTTCCTGTGAAGAAGTGTAATCGGGGGACCGTTAGCGCAAGGAGAAAAAGTCCCTTGTCTCCTAAAATCACTTAGGTACTTTGTTGCAAACCGTAAAGTACTCCATTATCCAAAATGGCTAATGGTTTTGATTAGGTCAACTTCTTTCTACCTGGGGATATTTCCTAAGGACTGCAGTTGAAGAAAAGGCATGTTAGGCATTTTCCAGAATTGATGCCTATTCAGTGGGTATCAGGTAAGTTACTTAGAAATGAAGGCACATAAAATAAGTAATAGCTTTGGAAAATAAAACTAATTATCCCTAAAGGGCTATCTGGTTAGTGACTCCTTTGCTTTTTATTACCTTTTTCTTTAATTAATGAACACAATCCCCATCAATACTTTAAAACTCTTAATTGCATATCCCTTTTTTAGGTTATCTGTTTTTTGGTTTTTTTTTTTTTTTTTTGTCTGTTTAGGAAATGAGTAGATTTAGATAGCCTTTCTTCTCAGAGCAGATCACTGTTTTAGACCCCATTTCTTAGATTCTGCGTGGGGGTTCTGCTCAAGCCCTTTTCTCTCCTTAAAGCTAGAGCAGCTGAGAAGCTGGATCTTTGGCCCCTCCCTAGCAAAAGGAAAGGTCATCTCAGAAATCAAGGAACGCTACAGTATGGTATAAAGACTGTTCTTTTCTTTAACCCCTTCACACTTCACAAAATACTGTCAGCTGTTCCTTTTCCTTTAAAAAGATATTTCTCTCGCATATTGAAGTCTGAATGCTGTATTGTAACATATTCCACTTTCTTTCCTTTTTGTGAAGTCTCGGTAAACAGAATGAGTTTTACAGTTCCCTTCACAACATTATGTGAAAATTTCTGATGGGTACAAGTGTTGGTGGTTGCACACTCAACGTTCACAGTAAGAAACAGGTATTTTGAAGTAGCATGAAAATTTTAATTTTTTGGAAAAAAAAAATCTCTTTTTTTTTTCTCTTTTATATGATCAAACTTTAACCAGGGCTCTGTGTGCTTACTTCACCTCTGCTTGAAAATTTCAGTTATGAACTGTTTGCAGCGAACTTTACCTTCCTCTCTTTCTTTTTTTTATACAACAGCAAGCACGATGGGGCCACAGTTTTCTCTAAGCATTTCCTGAAATTAATTAAAAATAAGGAGAAACTGAATGAAGTCATAAGCAGTTCTTGCATTGTTTCAGGTATGATAAACAGGAGACAGAGCAAGAGAGACTGGATCTAAGAAATTTCAAGTCTTCCTAAGCATTTTTTTTTTTTCGTGGAAACGTGTACCAGTGTGTAAGACAGTAGGGTCCTCTGAGTTGGGAGAAGGAGAGAGAGATGTGTAATGAATATATTGCTGGTTCTCTGGATTTGCCTTACCTCCTATCGCATTCACAAGGCAATTGTTTTGCATACATATCCCGTCCCTTAAGGGTGCATAATATTAGGTTCAAGTCTGTTTTGAGTAATTTCCTTACTGCAACTGTTCTAGCCACTAAGCCTGTTGAATTAAATGTTAACGTCCTTAGCTCACCAACTTATATTTTCTATCTCTGCTAAGCACATTAGATGCACTTACTGGCTTCCATTTCGTGTCACCTATCACTATTACCACTGCCTTTGTCCAAAAGCTATCCAGGGATAGCTGGGGACACAGGCTCAGCTCTGGCTGTTCGGACTCCATTAGCATCGTGTTGAGCTGTTGAATAGCCCGGGAGCTGTGCTCCAGGTCTGTGGAAATTAGGGAAGTGCTAGGCTTGTGATCTATCTTACTAGTGCACCAGACCTATTTTTAAGTTACGTCTGGTCGCAGGGTGAAACCTACCTGAAAGCATCATTCGGATAAATGAGACCCGGGTTATATCTGCCCAGCCCTGTTGAGATTACTCCAGTGTGTGTGGGAAAGAAACAAAAAAAGTAAGGATGATGGAGCTGTTGACTTTCCATTCTGGTACAACTTTTGGGAAGGAGGCCAGAGGGTGCCGGTAACCCAGGCAACAGTTGCTAATTGGCCTTAGATACATGGAAAGTCACAGAGGCTGCCCTACCCCTAGGTGGCTAGCGAGGCCATTGGCTGCCAGCAATCTGATTTTAAAAAGCTAAGAGAGCAGCCCCTCAGATGGGTGGGAGGACACAAACAGAGTGTCCTCACGAACACAGACAGTGACCTGACAGAATAAAAGTGTTCGAAAAACGAATTTATTGGGGAAAAATAATTTCTTAGTACTGTGGTTATACGATCCCTTAGAAGTATATGTCCTGATAAAGTTTCTTAATTCATTTTGTTTTATTTCTAGAACAGCGTTTATTATTCTGCCCCAGGAATCCAGCTGCATGCGCCTAGCCATACTAAAGAAGGACTGGGTAAGAATTCTTGCTACTAGCTAGTCCCCATGGGTTGGAATAAAAGTGTTCTCTCTTCACACGTGCCAGTCTGCTAATTACCGTCACTCTGAGCAGATGAATACTAAACCTCAGATTTAAGCCTTTCTCAGAAACAATATTGGTGAAAAAGTTGTTTTCTTTTAAAGAAAAGAATTCCTTAGTTGGCTTCTCTTTGTACAGTACTTGGAGCTGCTGTGTATGTCATGTGTACTCAGGATAATTTGAACCAACTGAAAGGGTACTGCTGTGGTTTTATACCACTTTAGCTGAGGATAGCCATGATCATTTTGTCCTGTCATGAATTGCTGTAAACTTAACGCAACCATATGGAGGGTATCAGGCCGCTCCGATGCCATCTCTTTGGAACGCAAGGTAAGGTTTGGGTCGATTTCCATCTGTTCAGAGACTCAGTAATGCCGCCCCCTCCCTCAGGGCCTTTGTACATTATTTCACAGAGAAATGTGAGAAAATTCAGCCTGTTCTCTGAGTTGAAAGAAAACAGTCATCTCAGATCCAAACGTTGTATGGCCATTTGTTTTCCTTCGTGGACTCAACTCCATGTTAATAAGGTCCAATGGCTTTTAGTTAGCTTGGAACAAGGAGAGAGTAAGTTTGCATCTGTTACAGCAAACTCTGTAGGCATTGTTAGAGGTTAATCTCCCTCATGCGAAACAGAGATGAGGATGATAGTTTTGACGAAAGCTTAACTCATTTGAGATTTACAATGGCATAAATTGTCTGGAGTCCATCCATCTATCCCAATCGGACTGCAACCAGGATCAGCTCTTATGTTTCATACTTACTTGTCCTTTGTGACAACTTTCTAGTTTTACAAATCTGTTTTATTTTTTATTTCTGTGACTGGAGGTAGAACTTGAGTTTATGGAGATCTAGAATATTGTGCACTTTATCTTATATTTTCTTTGAAAGCTTATTCAATATTCTAAGATATCTGCAACCCAATTTAGTTTAGAATGGTATGAAGTTATTTCACTTTTTATTTCCTTTTCTTACAACAAAACTCCCTATTTTATACACTGATAAACAAAAGTAGCAGTAGGATTATAGGATCTCATCTTATTTCCACCATTGCAAATCAGAATTGACTACACTGCAACAGAATTGCATGGGTGTAGTATTGGTACAAATGAAGGTCAGAAACAAGTTCATAATTACCATGGTTGGCTTCACTGGCATTTCTGTTTTAATAACGCATGATTTCCAGATGAGCATGCTTCCCTTGATCAGATCCCTTGATCAGATGTATTAATAAATGTTGAAAAACAGTTCTGGCTCTTTTAATCAGAAATGCCTCAATCCGCTTGATATTTGAGCACCAGAAAATGAGAGCTACATGACAATCCATGCTAGTGACAGCACTGTGGATGAATGACAGAAGCAGAAATGACCATCTATTAAAGTCATATCTTAAGATAAATATTTGCTTGAATCTCTGCGAATTGTAGGTGTTATCGTAGATCACCACCAAGATCACTTAGTTATACCAGAATGCAAGGCAGATCAGGTGGATGGTGTGGCACACCAAAAGGCTACAAATCTGAGAATATTTGAGGTGAACATTATCAGAAAAGGTAGGAGTCCGGAGAGCTGGAATTTAGAGGTACTCTTGCAGGGAGTAGCTGATGTTGAGGGGTCTCAAAGAATGGAAGATCTTTCAAGTCATTAAGTAAAGATCTGAGCTAGTTTATGGGAAAAATGATGAAAATTTTTGTTTCTTTTCTTTTTTCTCAGGCACTTTATCCATGCTTAGCATTGTGGAGAGATAACAATTTTACTATTAATGAATAGAATTTTATATTTGAATTGAGGAGGTATACATCCCGGTATAGTGACAAATGCCACAAGGTAGATGAATGAAGGCATAACTTCTCTATTCCCTTATCTGAAATGTATGTTTAGCAGTTGAAAACTGGAAATGATTCAGTGGTAAAACTTGCATTGGCATATATAATAAGAAATTGGTAATTTTTAGTTTGAATAGTTCCCTGTTTTATTCATGGAACTACTTCATTTCTCCCATAACTTTGAATGACAATGAAGCCTCAAGTGGTCCGTGACACTTGCTTTGTTTGGTTTCTAATAAGATATTGGAACCATTGCTGTGTAGCAAACAAAACAACTATAGAGAGGGAGGCAAAATACCAAGGTTGTCAGATGCATCCCCTCTAAAGAATCCTTTAAAAACAAAGCTTACCTTGCCCACATATTGAGTATCTGGACCTGTGTACTCCTCCAGCAAGAAAAATTGATTCCACATCCAGCCACGCTTCGTGCGATGCAGTGTTTTTCCATCATTCTCTGACAATCCTGTTATCCTTTCACTGTGCGAGTGCTTGTTAGTCCTTTTTTGGGATAGTATCATAGGAATTGCATGAAGCATACAGCCCCAAAGCAAAACTGTCAAGGAGTAAGTCCTCATCATTTACAGAGATGCTGTTAGGCTCCAATTCCCTAATAATTCACCAGAAAATTTTTTAAATGCTGTATTCCTCTTGTAAATAGGACCTAAAGGGTGGAGAAAAGTATTTGAGTAAATTGCAATACTCTTGCTTTCCTAAGCTCATAGCAGAGTATACCAATAGGCTAGTGATCATGACAATGACCCAATACCATGAGGTACGCAAAAAGGACCAACTGCATGTTTAATTGATTGCTTTCCTCAATTACATGCAAGAATTAAAGAGAGTTGAAAGCCAAGTCTTTTAATGCCTCTCTGATCCTTTTTTGTTTCTCTTCCCCGCCCGTTGTATACAGACATCAATTCAAAACATGATTTAATTGAGTAAAATATTTCTTGATCTGAAAAGTTTAGAGGCCTGTAGTTATTGACGTACCAGTTTCAGAGACTTGCTGAATATCAGAGCTAGTTCCCAGCTACCAGCAGCATCTTGAGACAATGCAACAGTCCGAACAGCAAGAAATCTACTAACCTAATCTCTCCCATTGCTTAGCCTGACTTCATGCTCTCTTGGTACCTGTAAAGAAGTTTCTGTAAAGCTGAATGTTTTGTTACTTCATCATTTATACCTTCTTCTTTCCCCTCACTAGCCCCTACCTGTACAGAGGATCCATGCTACTTTCTGCATAAAGTAGCTACGATATAAGAAGAAATTTAAAGTCTTATTGATGCCTTCTAGAGATTCCTCGTCCAAAAATGAAAAGTCCTTGCTAGACAAGTATCTATTCATAGCAGTCCTCCTGAGGCTGACAGAATTCTGCATTTGGGATAAAATTCTTCATTGGAATGTATTTTTTCTTTTTTCCCCTCCTGAACAAAAGGGAAATTTCATGACATAGACTTTTATTTGCAGTAGTGTGAAACCGAGATGGATGTTTTCTGTATAAATTTGTAAACAATATTTAAGCAAAAGAAAATACTTTTTCTTTTTTTTCTTTTTCTTTTTTTTTTTTTTTTGCAAATGCACACTCTCGATTCAAAAGTACAACTGAGATGCCTCAGTCTCTTTCATTAACTGGGCTTTCTGGCAAACCAGCTTTAGTTATAGAGCATCATTTACTGAGCTGTCATTGCATATCACAGAAAACTATGGTAACTGTGCATCAGGAAAAGTATAGCTTAGTCTGGAAATCCTAGTCCATAAACAATGATGATACTTGAAGCCACATCTCCCACATACTTTAGGATATTGAAATTCTACAAACCACCCGTATCTATCCTCCTTTCTTCCTAAACCCACCTTTACCAGCAACCAGTTTCATTTTGTTTTTCAGAGGTTTTTTTCTTGTATAAAAAGGTGGAACTTCTTGGAAATAAGAGGTTTTTCATGAAAATTATTTTTCACTTGAGAATCAAAACTGTTGGAATGGAAAACATTCAGTGAATTGTACTTTGAAGGCCTTAATGATTTAATAGGTAGAATCTTGTTCTTGTGTAGAGTTCTCCTTAAAATGCTGATATTCTGTATGGTCTCAGGATCTTAACTAGCAATCCTGAGGAAGGATCAAAGTCTTAGTATTTTAGTAACTTCAAACAGAGTTTTATCTGAGCAAGAAGTGAAGGCTTGAAATATTTATCACTTTCTAACATCATGCTCAAAAACAAAAAGAAAACAATTTAATAGGAGTCAAATTTATGCAGAAGATCATGGATATAATGCAGGAAAACTCTTTTTTATTTCTTTATTTTAATTGAAGAATCAAAGAACAAACTAAATTAACTCTATTTGCATAAAGTCATGCATGTAAGCAGCTCTTGGCATACATTAAAAGATATGTTTTCTTTGAATTCTGTAGATATGCTCAAAGTCTTGTTTTTTTCCCCTTGTAATGCTTGATATGTTCCTTTTGTGTTCAGAGGACCTGAGAGGGAAACCTCCTGTGGCTAATTTAACACTAGTAAATTTTGACGTTATTAATTGGACAGCACATCACATACATGATAATATTGTCTTGTGATTCAGGCTCACTGGATTCAAATCAAAGGGGTTTTATTGAAAAAAGACTCAGCAATCTTTCATCCTGAGTGACATGGATGTCTAAAGTTTGATTACTCCAATGTCCTGAATATTGAAAATAGAGACTGAAATTTTTTGTTATTATTGAATAATAGCATTTGTCAATGTAGAACATATAGCGTGATCATCTGGATCCTCAAATCCATCCCATTGCTGCAGCAGGCAAATATTTTCTTTCTTCTTGGTCATAAACATTAAAACTAGCTCAGTGATCTGCCCGCTGCTACAAAATATTACAAGAAAGTTGTTAGGGACCTCACAAAGCTGCTATTTTCCAGCTTAAAATTTCCTTCTGGACAGTTCACCACTGTTTTACTGTTGCATTTACATTGTTATTGACATCAGATAGTTCCTCTCTCTCTTTCATACTTAGCTTATTTTGGTTTTGTTTTGTTAGACTAAATGCATCAAAGGCTACAAGTCTCCTGTTGTATGACAGGATCCAAATCCCTACTCATTTTATTAGCTCTTCTCTGCATCTGTCCAAGTTTCACTTTGTCATTACTGAACAGGTATGATAATAGGTAAGAATATCATTATGTACGTGTCTTGTACAACAGATCTGAAGTTTCTTATCTTTACTTGAGATACCTTGCTTAATATGTCCTAAAATAGCACTTATTCTTTCACGGCTGCATTACATTGATGATTCACTGAATTGTAGCCCAAAAATTCATCTTATATACATTCTGAAGGATAAAATGTTATTTTCATATTGATCAAATTTTAGATATGATTGTTTTTGCTTTGGATATGCTTGATATGTTGCCACTTAACTATTCTGATACATTTTATGTATTTATATGCTTAAGGCTAGTTTATTTCTCTAATTTCTTTGAATGTACCAACCCTTCTGTATATATACATATATATACTAAAAAAAAAAAAAAACTAAAAAGGGTTTGGCAACTTAGAAAAATCTAACACTTAAAAAATTTAGTTCGGCTTACTTTTTCCTTTTTTTGAGGCAGTACTAGGTGGAAGAGATAGGGAATGTCAATGTATTTGCATTGGGTCAACCGGAGATGTGTGGTTACATATTCAGTTTTGAAATAATGTTCAATGGGTAGTAGGATGCTTCCTTTTACTTTTTTCAAACTTAAGTGTTTTTAATCAACCCAAACTCTCCTCATTCTTTTCTGTCCAAAACCTGTTTGCATTACTCAAACAAAGTTATAAGCAGTTTGTACTGCTCTTTTCTTTGCATTCAAGGAAATACTTCAAAGAGGTCTTTGACAAATACATCTTGTCTGGTAGCCATCTGGTCAAGAGAGCAGTGGATCAGGAATTGAGTCTGATAGACGCAGAAGGGGTATTTGAATACTGAACCAAAGGATTCTGGGGTAGTCTAGAAAAATAAGAGCGGACTTTCAAAGGCTGTACACAGCTGCTCCTAGCCAGCTGTAAGAAATTATTTCTGTGCAAAGAATAATCTTTTAATAGCGAGTTGGTTTTTTGATTTTATTTTTTTTTCCCCCGCTAAGAGTCTAAGTTCGCATATTTTGTTCCGGCCTGCGCAGAACTTGGAATCTGAGATCGTGTAGTGTGTGGTTTTCTGTGTGGTGCTGCCCTCTACTGATTGTTTCCCTAATTAAAAGAAAGAATTTACTGCTGCTGAGAGAGAAGACAGTACCCTTCAAGTAAAGAAGGACAAGCCTCTCTATTTGGAATGAAAAAAAAAGTTATAGCTATACCCCATTTTCTCCTGCTTTTGATTTTTACAGTAGTTTGATGTACTGTCTGGAAAGAGAGATTTATTAGGCTATGTTAATCTGGACCAGTTAATCATTATGGAAAAAATCTAATTAGAGTTCTTCTAAGGGGAGTAAAGATCTTTGGTCTGAAACTGGAGACTAGAATTTTAGTGATTTTCATTGTAAATGAAGAAGAAGAGTTACTGATCAAAATTGCATATGCATCCTCTCTTGCTTCTCTTCTGCTTCCACCATTTATTCAGTGCAATGACCAGTTTAGTGTTCTATTAAAAAATGGAAAATGGTTTTCCTCCTCGTTGCGTTGAAAACTTCTTTTGAGATGGGCTATTCATATATTAAACATTTTAATGCTACAGGTTGTGTAGAATCTGTATGCTTTTCCCATATTATGAATCAGAGGGTCTGAGTGGAGAAAATAAATATTTTGCTTTTTTCCGTTTGAGAGATCCATGGCAGTAGCCTAGAATCACTACAGCCTCTCCTTGCAGTAAGAACTCTCATATCAGTATCCTACAAGAGCTCCAGGTAAATGAATTATCTCTGAATGAAAGACAGGTTTCTCCTTAGCATATTAGCAATTGAAAAAATTATATATCTTTTAAAGCCTTTTTGAATGTAAAATATTCTATTTAGATTCTTCAGGTGTAGTGTGAAATAAGCCCTGCTGGGATCAGTACTAGGGATTTGTTAGCAATGATGCCAATTTAAATGTTTCTATAGCAATTGCCATGGCAATGTTTTTAATTAGTGCAGCACAGTCACTCACAAGCATGACATGAAGAAAGGCTAACCTTCGGCAACTTGATAATGTATCCCATATTAGTTGGTTTCGTTTGTTAATAAAAGTAAAATTCTATTCTAAAAGAAAGAGTCTGCGGTGTTCATTTATGTCTAAAAATAGTGCAGAGTTGACTGCAGCTACGCTACTCCATATTGCTCTCACCAGTCTTTACATAAAGAGCTGTAGCTCGTGTTCAGAACGATTCAGACAACCTGTAAAACTAAAATATGTATTTAGACGTGACATAGTAAGTGTAAATCTTGTGTAGCCTGTATGGGAGTGGCCTCCTCGACTTTGGCTGTGCTTTCTTCTGCAAACAAAATATCTAAGTGTAGCTTTAACCTACCTAGCCTGAATACTAAGTGCAGTGAAGCTGTAGCAACACAGGCTGTGCTATGAACTGCACACGGCCACCAAGAATTCCAAGACTTAGCTGAGATCTGTGCCACTATACCTTCACTCTTATTGTTCCCCTAATTGAAGATAGTCCAGGTACATGTATACATGCTTCTCACTGCAGCGCTCAGATACTCT